ATCTTTCTCTATCTGACCACATCCCCTTTTTGTGTCTGCAAAGGCTGTCCTAGCAAATTCTATGGGCTGCTGGCTTTGCCTCAGGGCTGCTCCTAGTCCTCCTTGTAAAACTAGTTGCTCTGCGGTGCGTTTGGATTGGTGTTCGGACAATGCCCGCACTGCATCCTAGCATGTTAACTATTTCTGGGGATCCTAGACTTCTGATAGTGTGCATACAATCGGGAAAGATAGATGGCCATCCCTTTAGTTGCTAGACTCCCTTGCCATCCTTTGGTCTAGATTTTTCCTTAATAGCTCACAGTTTCTCAGGATCTGGCTGGAGTCCCTCAGAAATCAACACATGTCCAATGTAGGGAACCTCAGTTTTCCTCAGCTTCAGCTTGTCTGCATTCAGCCTAATATTCTGCTCCCAGAACCTGTTTAGAAGTTGCTGCAGCTTAGTATCATGCTCCAGAATGTCATTTTACTTGACATCACTTTCTCCTACAGTAAGAATGTCATCTGCTACAATCTTGATACCTAGGAGTCCCTCTAGTGCCTCGATCAGTTTACAGTGCAACACCTCTGTGGCCAGTTGCAAAGGAATGGCAAAGTTTGTTGGTTGGCTGGATGGCTCATTTAGCTCAATGACACACTGTGCTAGTATCAACCAGTTTCATGATGGCTCCTCTTTGCAGTTCCTTCTTCAGTGACTCCAACAGTGGAACTCTGTGTTTTGGTAGTCTCATGGACTGCACAGCAGGGTCTATTTCAAACTTCAGCCTGCCCTGTAGGTGTCCATCTTCTTGAAATATGTCCTGATATTCTGTTAGAATGCTGGATGGGGTCCATGGTGACTGTTCTCTCTCTTCTGTCATGCCGAGGATAGTTCTGGTGTTGTACTGTGATCAGATCCATGGCTTGCACAGCAGTGGATAGTGCGCCTCTGTGTCAACTAATATAAATTCCAAGTGATAACATCTCTTGTTTCATGGGTTTCTTATTGATAGCCTGAATTTGCCCACTGGCCTCAGAATGCTTTTATTGTACATCCCTAGCAATTGATCATATTTCTCCAGTCTAGTGTTGCTTCTCAGTATTGCTAGGATTACTTTGCAGCTGGCTGCACAATCCATCTCAAATCAAATCGGTTGTTGACCTAAAAGTATAACTGCAGATATGGCAGTTGAATGGCTGGCAGCCTTCTTCCGCAGTGTGTGTACATTGAGCGTCTTTTAAATCTGCTAATGTCACATTGCAGTTATCCTTCTCTTCATTGAAAATCTCAGCGTCCTGAATTTCTGCATGTACTGCTGTTTTTTCCCCCTCCTTCCTAGGGTAGCTGTGGCAGGGGGACATAAAGCAGCTCTATTTCCCACACCCCTTGCACCATTTCCCATAGGTATTTTCCTTTTCTGCCTTTCATGTTGCCTTGTATATATGCTAGACCATGATGACTGCATCCTCAGTTAGTCTCTGTCCTGCTTTTTGGGTTTCTTTAGCTTGAGCCTGTGTACATGTTCTGCACTAGAGGCTATTGTTTTTGATTATTTCCCTGGACGGTTCAGCTGCCCTTGCTAGAAGCATTTCTCTAGGGTTACATCTGTTTCTCTCAGCAATCTCTTCCATAAACTGGAAACCCATTTCCTACAAATTATCCTGTCTCTGCTTATGGAACTTTTAATGTTTCCAGAGTTACATGTGGAGGCCACAATTTTCAGCTCTGTAAAGTAAGTATCTATTTCTTCTTCTGCATCTTGGTTTTGGGTAAAAAAAAACAAAACAGTATCTCGCTACAATTTCATTCCATTGGGGTCACAGTACTCATCCAACACCTTTATCAGTACTTCCTGTGTTTGGGGTATTATTTCTGGTAACAGTGTCTCACTCACTACTTGTCCTTTCCCCCCCCTCCAATGAGATAGTTGTAAAAAAAATATATTTTTATTTTTACCATAATTTTCTCATCTTTATCCCCATAGCCAGCTCTCTCTCTCTCTCTCTCTATATATATATATATACACACACACACCATGAGATGCATATATATAAACTCAATTATTGTTTCCACTGCTCCTATGCTTGCGTAATATATATATATATATATATTTTATCTGGAAATCAAGCTTTTCTGGTGGCTTGAGTTCCTCCATGCTGCTTGATTGCTTTATTTCTAGCTGCTGCTTGTTTTCCTTTCACTCATACTCTCTTCCTCGCTGTGCATCTCTGTAGGCTGACTACCACCACAGTATTCCCTGAACCTTGTCTTGAGAGAGGACTCCATGTTTCTAAAATTAAACTGGCTCCTTATTAAAAGAACTATTTACAGAGGTTCTATGCTTGCAGCTAGCATTCCAGCCATGTGCAAAGAGACTGATTTCCTGGAAACTCCTGAAAATTCTTCCTTCCTGAAATCTGAAATCTCTCCAAGCTCTATGCAGGTTGCTACAGCAATGTGCAAGGCATAGAGCAGTGAGAGGTGGGAAGGACAGGCACACTGGCTCCTTATCCCACCACCATGCTCCAATCACTAGAAGCAGCCAACACAATCATCACATGCAGCCCAACACCCAGACTTCAAGGGGCCTTATTGACAGAGAGAGTTGGGGGGGAATCAGTTGAAGATGCCTGGGTCAGCTGTTGTGATGACTTGGAGTAGCTGAGGGGAATCTGGTGGAGCTGGATAGGGAATGAGGGAGGCTAGTTCCTCACCTTGTACTGCTGTTGGTTCAATTACCTACCACCACCACCGCCTCCTCCTCCTTTACCCGGCTGTTCCTTCCTGGTGGTATCCATCAGGAAGAGTGGTATGACAAGAGGAGGAGAGACCGCTTAGCTGCCTGCTCATCAGGTGCCACAGCAGACCAGTGGTAGGATGAGCAACTGCAGGCATATGCCTACTGCTTGTCCATAGGTTAGCTGATTACGTGATAATTCTGCTGTGATGCAGGGCAGGCAGACAGGGGCCTGCAGGGAGAATGATCCCATGAGATGCATGGATAAATGCAATAAACTGACTAGCCTGTGTTCATTTCTCAGCTTGGGGGGGGGGAAGCAGAATTAATTAAGAGTGAACTTGTTTTTAAAATCCCTTCCTATTCAAGAATCTCAGATATCACTTGTTACACCAGGAAGGATTTTTCCCAAAATATTATTTTTAACTAGACTTGACTGCTTCCCTGTGTCCCCAGTGTGCATATACAAGCTCCGTGGCTTCAGCCTTTGAAGAACAAATGCTGCCTTGGCACTGCATCAGACTCATCAGTTGAATATCTGTATCCCAGGGAATAAGGAGAGTGAGCTCTGCCTGCCTCCATTGTCACCACAGTTGATGTAACAATCTGCATTGCTTGCAATCTGCCATTACCTTCCTCTGCTAATTACATTTTCAAAAGGGCTGAGTATTGCCACAGTCTTCCCATAGCAGACCCAGTGTACCCAAGGGGTTCAGGAGAGCCTGCTCACCTGCTTCTGACATCTGGCTTGATATTACCAGCTAATTCACTATAGATGCACTACTTATTATGAAGTATTATTATTATTAATGATGTCTTAAGTACCAACAACGTGCTTGGTCTTATGCAACACAGGAAATAGAGCTGGTTCCTGCTCTGATGGGTTCATAATTTGAAAAAATTGCAGAGAAGATAGAACGCTGTGGGACTCACAGAAATGGGAGTTGGAAATAAGTTGGAGATATTTTGGTTTGCTTGGCTTTTATGTTTTGACTGTTAGCTTACTTCCAATGATGAGCTGCAGAGACTTATCGTGAAGTCTGTGAGCGCCCTGTAAAAGAGATGGCCTTTGAGGTCTCTCTCATTTTTTTTAATGAAAACTAAAGGTGAGATTTTCAAAAGCATCTAATTTAATTAGGCACTTAAGTCCCATTGAATTTAAATCGGACTTTGGCATCTAACTCACTTAGGCACTTTTGAAAATCCCACCCTAAGTCTCTAGTACCCCCTCTCTTTTATTTCCCCTCAAAATTGCATCAATTTTCATGGCTAACCCCAGTATATGTTAATTGCCAAGACTGAAAGGAGTATGCAGCTCAGCTCCAGTGCTGTAGGAGGCAGCTATCACAGTGTAAAGGAATATGCAAACAGTTTTTAAATAAAACAAGTTAGTAAAGTTTGATGTGTGCCCCAAATCCTCTCACTAGTCCTCCTTAAGATGCTTAGATTGCTCCAGTGCATAGTTGTGTGATACTTAAGGAGAGAAAATTAATTATATATCAGGGAGGGAGGGAGACAGGAAAAAAAATGTTTCACAACAACCCCCAAAACATTACATCTTGTTTCAGTTGTTAAAATTATCAGCTATCTCCATTATTGACAGGACTGCAACAGCTGCTAACAGGGGGATTTCCTTCTTGTAGGTGCACATGGGGACGTATACCGGTAGCCTGGAGAAACTCTAACACTGACAACTGCTCTAGAATGCAAGAGATGTGGGCAAGCTGCTTCTACACTGAGTTGAGAGAGCTATCACCACTGCAGCCTGCCTCTCGCCTCACCAGCACATGCTTGCCTAGTCCTGACCCTGCCTGATGACCATTAAAATGGTATTTTGAATGAGCCTGAAATTTGTCAGCCAGTGGAAACCACTTTGACTAGCCCGAAGATACCTGTTTTCCTCCCCTTTCCCTCACACTATCTTCTTTACACACGTCCTCATCTTAAGTGTCCCACAAAAGCCTCCATTTCTACATATAACCCCTATATTTGTAGGAGTAAGGTAGCTGAGTATTTAAGTAAGAACTATTTTAAATAACTCTCCTCAATTAAATTCCTTGAAAATCCCCAGCTATTTGTACCACTTCCCAGTATATTACAGACAGCTTTACCCTTAATACTAAAATATAAATATTGGACTATATTTTGCCATCTCATTTTAAATAGAATTCCCCGAAGGTTGGCCAGTGGTCTTGGTATACTTTTAAAATATATATATATTTTAATGTTTTTTTTCAACAATGTATGTATTATAGAAATGATACAATGGTAGGGTTAACATTTTACCTAAAATCTGAGCCTAGTCGTTTTCCATTTTCTGGCTCTCCAGGATCTGGACACAAATTGGATGCCTGTTTAATACCTCCTTCATTTACTGTAAAAGAAAAGAAAACACACTTTTAGGAAACTGAGAAATATGAAGTTTTGTACAATTAATAGTTTGAAAAACTTACTTTAGCTACAATGTTGCTACTTCAAAAACACCAAACAGTTACTAGATTTTGGGGTAGATCACAATCTCCAGTTTCAATACATTTATTTTCTTTCAATGATAAGTGCGACTTTTAAAGTATGTTTTATATTTGTATACAGCAAATTCTAGAAGTCTTATGATAAATAGAAAAAGTACCAAATAGCTCTGTTTATTTGCTCATCACTGAATCCATATACATATTACTTTTATTTCTTTACAAAAAATAATATTTAAAGTTAATGAACTCTTCATTAACATTTACTGGAACATGTGGGAAATTTTCCTCTGACCATAGTTCAGTAATGTCGCTCTTGCCTTCTCCCCTAGTGTCTGACCTGCTTGCCTTGTGTCAATGACAAAACTTCAGTGGAGTTGGGTCAGATAGGCCTTAATTACTGGTGTGAATCCAAATATCCCAGAATTTGGAGGCATGGGGGAAGCTTCAAGATCTGAACCAGGTTTGACTTTCACAAATTTCTTAAAATGAACCAAACCAAATCCTCAGAGCTGGATATTCCCAAACCATGGGGGTTTGAAATCTTTATGTGGATTTTAAATTTTTATCTTGGATTCATCTCTTCTTATAAAAAAAGATTAAGAACTGATCCGGTGCCTTTTACACACACAACCTTTTATTTTAGTGGAAGCTATGCACATATGAAGAATCTAGAATTGATACCCAAATTAGTGTATTTTTTCAATAGTTTGCACTGTCTAGTTTTGTCATATTTTACACACCATGTTTATTCTACTATAAAAAAAATGAAACATTTACAGTTTGCAAGAGTTTCAATTCCAAAAAATACCTCTACCCCAGTTTAGTTCTGTTTGTCCTAGTTGTGCACTGAATTAAGAGTTGATGATCAGGAAATAAATCCATATCACAGGAGGCTGGGTCAGCTGCTACCTGAGGAATGTTTAGGCTTAAGATGAAACTATTTTTAATGTTTTCAAAACTAAGTGATGTGAAGCCAAGGCATTTATGTTAAGAGGAAAAGATATTTAACCTGCCTTTGTTTCTGACGAGTTAAGTCAATGGGCTTTGGCATAGCAGGGTGACAGCTTTCAACATAACAAAATAAAACTCCTTTGGGAGAAAGGGCTTATATATATAATTAAGCTAATCAGAAATGACTTATTCACACAATTTTTTAAAATTGATTTTATGAGAGAGAGAGAGAACACTTGTTTCTAATTAATTACATGTCTAAACTGTCAGAGTCTACCTCTGCAGGAATAACAGTTTGACACAGGCCGATACTAAGGTACACTGAAATAGGGTATTCGCCACCTATCTTTTCCCATGGCCCCATGTGAGGAATTGCCATAGGAGTGTTTGAGGGACTCTCCCTTGCCTTGAACATGGGGTACTTATACTCACAAAAGGTGGTAAAATTAACTCAATAGTGATAGGTGAGGTCAGGACCATACAACAAAGGTGAAAGGATGGGGAGCAAGTGATCATTATTTACTTTTTCTTCAGTAGTTGGGGCCCTTTTCAACCAATGGACCCTCACCTCAGCCTTTGCTGGCTCTGGCCATACTATTCAGTCTCTCTGTCCTGAAAGAGCTACAGCATGGATGGTCTGATATTGGCAGCAAGCAAAGGTAAGTGCCTGTTCATCCACTTTGGAATACACAGGGCTAGCTGGATTTCCACTTTTGTGACTGGAAAGGAGTTTTCCATTAGCAGCACATTAGCTGAAGAATCAGAAGTTTTTCTCACTTTACTCTGAGGAACTTAATGAGGCTCGTGGGTAGGCTGAAAGTGTGTCACCCAGAGAAAGCAAACATTGAAGGATCCATGTGTTTGGCAGTTATGGTTCTGCCATCGATTGGAGTCCATATGGACAGTCCAGGAAGAACTTGTTATTTAGAAATTTAGATGGGAATCCATGTTGGAGTACTTTGTGTGTCTTGTATGGTCCCAAAGTCCAAGGCAGGGCCTGGAAATTAAAGAGGCAGTTAGTGGCTAGTCCACATAGAATGGAACATTACCACTGTGCACAGGCAGAGGAATTCTTAGGTGACATTGACTGTCTACTTAGGAGGAATTCTAAAATGAGATTATGTTTGTGGGTGGGGTAGGAGTGGCCTTCAGTCAAGATTTTCTGTGGTTAAAAGTTTATTAAAATTGTGGCCAGAAGCTTTTATTGGCGCTGGCCCCAGGCAATAGTTCTCAGGAAATAACCGATATGACATCCCAGAATTTGATTGGATTATACAATATTTAGGGGACTTTTAACATTATTGTACTATATGCATATGTAGATACAAGATTTTACTTTACTATGACTAAATGAACAGGACAAAAATCCAGCTTTAAACAGGACTTCCTATTTTATTGTATTTCATCTTTCAGTATTTGAAACAGAATTTTTTATTCTTGTACTCTGCGTAATTCTCAAAAATGGTAATACTGTGGAAGTTTACATGAAAAGAGCAGATTCTGTACTGATTTAACAGCATGAAAACAATTGGATTCTACACATTTCAGCTAAAATAACAAGCCTGAGAAAGTGTGTGCTGCTTTATGTCATCATCCCTAAACTGCTGCCTTCTTAATGAAATACAATGAACTAGAACTTAACATGATACGTGGGTGTATTTTATATTCATTCAGAAAATTCTGAAAGACTGTACTAAGGGAAAAATATCAATCCAACAAAAATTAAAATCACACACACACACACACACACACACACACCATTTAGAACTTCAGAACAACAACAAAAAAAGTTATAGTTAGAATTCATTAAACTGACAACTCTAATTTTGGCCCCAATACAGCAAAGTGTTTTAAGCACATGCTTAAATTCCATCCCTATTCATGTTCATCCCTAAACATGCTTGGCCAAACATGGATGGTCTACTGAGTTTGGAGCCTTTGTACTGTTGGTGTAGAATGCGACCACACATAAAACTTGACTTTTTTTATTTATAAAAATATAACTACTTTACAGTTTCCCACTTTTCCCATTATCCCATACAGTCCTGTGACAACTGTTAATGGGCATTTTATTGTAAACAATGGCGTATCACGAGTGAGGCATTCCTTCATGGTCTGAGCATGGGACTGGGAGCCAGATATTGCTGAGGTGTAATTCAGACTCTCACACCAATCCCCTTATGACTTTGGGCCTTAGTCTGACCATTTGTAGAGTCAGGATGATGCTTATATATATCACAAGGGTATATGGCCTCGCTCATGCAAACACTCATGCACATACTTAATGTCGTCTCACATGAGGAATCCTAATGGTTTCAGGTGCCTTAAGGTAAGCATTGAATGAGTGTTTGCATGTTCAGGGGTTAAAACTGTAAAATTCTTTGTAGGTGAAAAAAATCATATACATGTTTTCTATTTTGTTGTGTTTATGGTGTGTATTCAGCAGAAGTAAGACAGAGAGAACAAACATGAAAACTGTCTCAGGACAATAGTTTCCTGAGGCTTAGATAATCCAAGACAGTAATTTAAGGTAGCTATTTATTGATATTATTACAAAAAACAGATATATACATAATCTTCTCTGTTGAACCGTTAGACAGTAGAGGGACATCATTCATTTTAAAAGACTCTGTTCTTTCATTGTTCTGCATACAGTGCTCCCATTGAGGTTCCATTGAGAATTCTCTCCAACAATCATTGGCACAATGTATTTTTATTGAAATATTGTCTTTTTATACATTTACAAAACAGCCTAAATGAACACAGAATTAAACAGAACGATAAAATTGAACATCTCTTCTAAAAACTTTGAATCTGTCTGACCGAGTTTTAAATCAACCAAAATGTTTATCAATTGTTTGTAGGGGCTAGCTGCTCATTTGTGTTGTCCATCTCTGACTCCCTGACAAACCACAATACTACATACTTAAATTTTATATGGAATATCCACAAAATATCAGCTATGTAAAACTTCACTGATATAAAGATTTGGCACTAAACACACTATCATAGCTTGAAGTTGCTAGCCACTAATGCATTAAAAGCTACATCTAGATATCTTAAAGTTGGTCTTGAAATAAATGTGATCAAGTAATATATGGCAAAGCTAATAAATTAGTGGAAATGGAATAAATATGGAAAATTTGTATTTGGTATAATAAGAAAGTGATTGTGATGATATAAATCAATCTTTGTGTCAACCATTCTATTATCAATCTCTATTGTTTACATATATTTACATTTTACAGTTTTATATATTTTCAAATAGGCTTGTATCTATTTTACTGTATTTCATGTCTTACAACCACCGTACTCTCCCTTGAGCCAACAGTGTGAAAATAACATGGATTTTTATTTTTTTTAAAGCATCTTAACACATTTTTGAGATACAAAAGTAGAAGCTTCCAGAGTTGTTTAGGTGATACTCTTTACAGATAAATTAAATCTGGCAATACTGTAAACTGCTATGATAAACTGAATTGAAGTGTGGCTATTTTATTACTTTTACTTCGTAAAAGCTATAGGGGCTTGCCACTTTAGGAAACCTTTATCTAAAAATGCATGACTCGCATGCTGACAATTTAAAAACTACAAGCTGAAATTCCATTGAAATGCATTTTCTTTGGGAAAGTCACTGTCATGATAAATCCTGGAAACTGACCTCAAGACTGATATCTCAGGCAAATATTATCAGCGCAAATATATCCTGCCTAGGGTGCATGCAAAAGCACGCAAATTCAATAAGTCTTTTCCCCCCGCCATGAATAATAATGAAATGTGGACACATGGTATGCATTTACCCCATATTTGATTTAACCAATTATTTAAATATTTTAAATGTGGTTCTACTCTGTAAAAATGCCATCTTTTCTCAGCAGATCTTCTCCTTGATATATTCAGAGGCATATCTGCTTACTCTAGTTATTTGAAGTAAGTTCTTACTACTTTCAATCTTGTTAGCCTTGCAGATTCAACACAGCTAACATGAAGTATCATGAAGTATCATTAAGGGCTTGATACTGCAAGGTGCTGAGCACACTCAACCTATTTGCTAGGACGGTTTACCAAGTTCTAATCTGAGCTGAGCCATCTGAAGGCAAAGAGACTGTTGGAATGACACTGAGAATATCATTTGAAGAAAATATCTTGTTGCACTGTTGTAACTGAGTTTTGCAAGACTGGTAGTTAAGGGAAAGAGGGGATATTTTTATTTGCATACTCATCAAATTTGATTTGAAATCATTGAGACACAATAAACAGGCACCCATGATTTATAGAGAGCTTCCCTTCAGAGTAAAACCACACTTTAAAATTGACCATGCAGATTGTAGAAAGATATTTAAGGCAGTTATATTATTGGAAATATATAAACATTTTTGAAAACACACACAAACAACACAGACAGCACAAACTTCACTCTTGCACTAGAAAAAAGTAACAAAAAGGAGTACACTCACAGATAGAAAACTTGTTGCTGTTGTCTTTCCCTGGAAACAATTTAAATCCTCTAGATTTAAAATCTATGGCCTTTTTCACTAGTTAAGAAAACAAACAAAAACATGTATCAGGTAATACAGTCTACAAGATTTCATTTCAATTGATTATTCAATTTGTTATCTTGGAAGTATGCAAGTTAGAGTAACTGCTTTCTAATAAGCCAGCATTATTTACCCATAATAGAAAAAAACAAAGTAAAACAAAAAAGCCTTTTACACAAAAGAAAAGTACTCAGATCAGATTGTGTATAAGGTACAGGAAATGAATAACATTTACATATGTTACTTTTTTCCCTCCAGTGTATGCACAGTGCCTCTGATGCAAAACAAAAATGAAAGCTAAAGATAATAGTTTCCATGCATCATAAGTGGTTTTGTAAAACTTTGCCACACAATTATGGAACCTGGTAAATTAATGACTGAATGAGTGATTTGAAACAGGTATTTTCCTTATAGTTGGTACTAACATTTTTTTTCCTCTGAAATTTTCAAGAACTCTGCAATGGTATCTGCTAATAAATTGTATAAAATGCTGTGTGCTATTCTGGAGATGCCCTATAAATAAGGTGTAAATGTTTCACAGTGAGGGTAGTTAACCACTGGAATAATTTACCAAGGGCCGTGGTGGATTCTCCATTATTGGGAACTTTTAAATTAAGACTGGATGTTTTCTAAAAGATATTGACTAGGGATTATTTTGGGGAAGTTTTGTTGTACAGGAATATAGATGATTGCAGAGGCCCCTTCTGTCCTTGGAATCTATAAATTATCTGAAATTTCTGCAATAACAGTCTATTTGTGTAATGCTCATCATTTGATTATACTTCTTCACTGACAGAGCATCTTTTTTTTAAACATGTGTTAATCACATTATACCTAAAAGCATATTCACGTCCAAATCATAGCCCCAATTCTGAAGTCAATAGGTATCCCATAGACTAGGGATCGGCAACCTTTGGCACGTGGCCTGTCAGGGAAATCCGCTGGCAGGCCGGGGTGGTTTGTTTACGTGCAGCATCCACAGGTTTGGCCGATCGCAGCTCCCACTGGCCACAGTTCGCCGTTCCAGGCCAATGGGGGCTGCGGGAAGCAGCGGCTAGCACATCCCTTGGCCCATGTCGCTTCCCGCAGCCCCCATCGGCCTGGAATGGTGAACCACGGCCAGTGGGAGCTGTGATCGGCTGAACCTGTGGACACTGCAGGTAAACAAACCGTCCCATCAGCAGATTTCCCTGAAGGGTCACGTGCCAAAGGTTGCTGATCCCTGCCATAGACACAAAGAACTAATGGCAGGATGGGGCCCATATTACTACTCTCCCAGCAGATACTCTACAACAGAACACAACCAAAACAATATGCATCACAATGTTGGTTGTTCTCATGTCTCACTTACTAAAGTGACAACTAAAAAATTCACAATCTTATAATTCAAAAAACATGCTAAAATAGATCTTAAAACCTTGAATATTTTAGCAGGAATCCTTCTGCAACTCTAAAACATATACGGATATTTGGAAAGGTTTATTTGTGGATGCCCAAATAGCCTACAAGGTTTTTTTTTTGTTTTTGTTTTTTAAAAGCAGCTTCACAGCAGTTCCAACTACCTACTTTCAATTTTTGCCTCATTTGTGACCCTAAGTCTAACATGGAAGGTCCAGCCTTTATCTATTAAATACAAGTTTATTTTCTATGATAACTCATGCTTAGATCTTTCCTAAGTAGAAAATCTAAATTCTGTTTTTGATAGTTTTATGATGTACAAACTAATCCAGCCGGGGCTATAACACCACCAACAATGACATTGGCTTTAAAAATAGAAGCATACTACTCAGGTACACTGTTTTTAATTGAGCGCTTTGCACCTTGAACTTAAAATATGCTCAGCTATTCTAATTTTGGTTGCTCAATTGCCCCCACTCTCTCAGAAACATTGATTTTTGAGGTCTATTATGGCCAATGATTGACCTTCCTTCCTTTCCAAATTAGCTCTGGAAAAGCCCTTAGTTCTTGGGGCTGCATGGCTTTTTTGCTATACCCAATCAGTTCTGAGGGAGCATGGTTGTCTCCAGGCACATTTGAAGCAGATGATGTCAAATGAAAGGAGGAAAGAAAAACAAAACAGAAAAGTCAAGAGGAGGAAAGGAAAAAAAAGAGGAAAGAATGAAAGCACCGAAGAGAGTGGTTTCCTTTGAAATAGTCAAATGACTATCTGTGATATTTTCTCCAAGTAAACAGTGCACCCTGCTGCAAAAATGTGCTAACTAAACTAAACTAAACGAAAAAAGAAAGTTTATCTGGAGATTGGGTGCATTGTATCCAGGATATTTTCCAACAGTGGATACATCATAATTACAGTTCAAACGGCAGCAGGAGTTGTACGTTGTCTGCAGGGAACTATTGAAGATGAAGTCTGAACAAGGCAAAGATTAAAAATATATATCAGGGAAAGCTGAGCAAAGCAGATGAACAATGGGAGACAGACGACAAAGGAACTTTTAAGCAACCATTACACTTATTTTACAAGAAGAAATAGTATCCAAAGGGATTCTTAAATGTGACATGAACAAAAAAAGTAGCTGAATTACTTAAAAATAATCATACATGAAAAGTGCAAGAATTTCAGAAGGAAAAGTATCCAAGAAACTTTAAAAAGTTGAAATGACAGTTTGGGAAGTGATCAAATACCTACTGACATTTATATCTCTACATTTTGGGGTAAGAAACTATGCTTTTCTCTGTGTTTGGAAAGTGTCTAGAACACAAAGAGCTAAGCTGTAAAATTCAGTTTGTTATGTCGATCTCATACACTGATTGTTTTCCCTAGAAATAGAATACAACAATGCACACGGATTAAAATGGTTGCTGAGATGGTACTGTCGCTCCGCAATACTGTGATTTTTCTCAAAAATGCCTCATATGGACAAACTCTTAGAATCACATCGTGAAAAATTCATTGCAGCCTCCAAAACAAATCTCTATCCAAAGGGCTCTCTGCAAAGAATTCCAGGAGGAATGAAGGTATGAACTTTATCCTAAACCAGTACAGGACTTCCAACTGGAATAGCAGTGTGGCCCCTCTACACCTAGTTCATGGGATTTCCAAGTCATAGTATCTGCATAAACATGGATCTAGAGGCCTACCCATCACCTTCTCCTGGCCTTTTCCCAGAACTGCCCTCTTCAGAGCTGGCATTGAGCCCCCACACAAATACATAAGAGAGCATGGGTACCTTCCTGTATGGCCATTCTCACCATACATCCACAAACAGTACAATGGGAGTATTCAACAATTCAACTGCAATGAATTTGAATCTCAGGTTTTGGGGGAAATATACCCTTCTTTATTTCCTTGCAAATTATCAAACACAAGGGAGAAAGTAGCATGGCAAATGTTTGGGTCTTCTTTTTCCTTTCTTTAGCACCAGGACACAGTATCTACTCTTTATGCAATAACTACAGGGCTTCTCTCTGAGATTACATTTGAACAAAGGAAGGAGTGTTTTGGGGAGGAAAATGTGGTAGAGTTTGAAAGGTTTAATGCAAAATTTCAAATGGTTATTAGAGTTTCTTGCCTGCACACTTTGTTCAACTCCTGGCCCGGGGGGATTTTCACAAGAGCAGGCATCAGCATGCTAAGGCCTTTGCATGCTATTGGGAAGATAAGCCACACAGAACTCCTGCAGATATTTGTATCCTGAACAAGACAGTAATTTCATTTTGACTTTGAAAGGGACTTTTTTTTTTTTTTTTTTTTACTTACAAAAAGATTATTTTCCTGTGTGTCCTAACAAGGGCAATCAAACTGTGAACCAGAAGTTATAAAACCTATTGGGCTTGAATATACACATACACTAAAATATATTCTAAGCTGGTTTACAGACCACACACACACACACACACACACTAAATTTACCCCAAATCACTTTGCAAACTATCTAGAAACTATAGTGGAGGCAGGGAGCTGATTACAAACCAGTGTGTGCACAAAAACATCTTTAGCAACCAATCCTGTGAGGTGTTGAGCACCTCACCTTGCCAGAGGCACACAGTATCTCACAGGATCAGGTCTTTATACATAATTGACCCAATTCTTGGTTGTCCAGTGTCTCATTATGCTAGTGGAAATAGGCCCTGGGGAATATCCTCAGTTGGTATATACCAGTGAAATACATCTTGACTCCCCATCCACTCCAACAGGGCATGCACGAGTGGGGAAAACAGAGCATCACCAAAACACACTGCACTCCAGCAAGTCTCAGAATTTAGCCATTATCTTGTTATATTGTGAGGAAGTGTTGACCAGGAATTTAATAAATTAAAAATAATATAGCCTTTTATAGCCTTTTGTATGGCACACATAATCTTTCTATCAGAAATCCTGACAAACATAGATGTATTTATCCTCACGATGGCGTTTGGTCATGCCCAAGTTGTCTGAGTACCCAATGGCTTGAGCTGCTCATAGTCTGGGGGATGAGTGCCCAAACAACATTTTCCAACGTTCCCAGGAAGTGGGGTGATTTTCTGAAGGGCGTGGGAGCTGAGATTGCTCACTGCAAAGAAGAGGGAGAAGGGCATGTGGTCTCAAGAACAACGGGTTGGGTTGGGTATAGTAGAAGGAGCTTGCCCACATAACACCCATTTACATTCATGAGAAATGCATACTGAGATCATGGACCTATTATTGTATTCCCTTCCTTTCAAGTATAATATTCAAGCAACTCATCTCATGCAGAAATGGCAATATGGTCAAAGAGTTTGCATAAAATCCTTCAGTCAACAAATCACCCCCAAACTGCTCTTATGTACCTTGTTCCAGTTCAAAGCATTTTTAGCCCAAGTTATAAACCCACAAGCTTTCTCATGAGAAGGTCAACAAGTGCTTAAATACAGTAGCACCAGGCTACCCAATTATCCTTCCTGCCTCAAATCCTATTAGATTATTGTTTCTAAATGCACATTTTCTTAAAGGGTTCATACAGATCTCAATATACTATAAAACATGAACCTCATATGTCAAGTTTATTTTGTATACTCCT